AATAGCTAAAGTCAAGAAAACATCACAATCTCAACTTTGAAGCTATGTACATGTTTGCACATGTAGGGATAATCTTGCATACAACTAGCCTTAGGTACAGTTTTCTGAGAGTATTTGACCTTTGTTTTCACTGTGATGGTTGCCATGCCAATGAAAATGCCTGGATTCCCCCCCACCCCCCACCCCTGAGAATAGAGACCTTCACCTCATGGAGAGTGAACAAAATACAGAAAAACACCATCAAGTGTGAAATGACTATTACCGGTAAATAAATTACTTTCTTAAATAATTTGAAAGTAATGGAATTAATTTCCACAGAAAGCTGTTTGATTTATACTCCATTATTGTCAGTGAATTTATTTTCAATTCATGACACATGACATTGACCTTGTTTGCATATAACCATTGATGCTGCAATTGACAATGACCTCCTATTCTAACAATGCTAAAAAGGCCAAAGACAAGAACAAATCTGCTTGCAGTAATGTAAATGTAAAATAAAATATAGGAAAAATGGTATATTGGCTGGATTTTATTTTCACTAAATCATCCTTGTAGTGAAAACAAATTCCAAATGAAAATAACAAAATATTATTTTATTTCCGTATTTTTTTTTTCCTTTCTACATTTCTATCAGAATTATTTACGAATAATTACCACCAATTGTAAGTTAGACATAGTAGCAGTTGAGTTATGTTCTGGTCGCACACTTCCTATGGGAAAAAGTATTTCTATAGAATATGATAAATTCAGGAAATACAAATAGAATAATTTGCATGAAATAAAGTTTCAGTTTCATACAAAATATGCACAGACAGGGTTATCAACAGTTATTTTTTTTAACCTTGACCTCACCGAAGTTTGTTTCTAAACTTGTTCTCCACCAGTTCTTTTCATCACAAATAGTCCCATTTAAAGTATGCACTTTCCTTCAGAAAAGTGGAACAAAACTTGCCAAATTTTTGGAATAAAAACAGAAATTGACTTAAATTGTGTCTGTTGGCTCAAAAATTGGAGTTCATTTCTAGAAATATTGAAGAATATACGAGAAAAACAAGAAGAAAAATGTGGACGAGAAAATCTGGTGGTGAGAAAGTTAATGGTCCATTACCTCACCTCAACTATTACTATCACTACTATTACTACTACTATAAATGCAGGTAAAATTTGCTAAATTAAATCTATGTGAACATGTATAATAATAATAATAAAACTCATCGTTTCCGTGACAAATTTGTGAAATTAAAACACACATATGCACAAAAATCAAAATAGTGAAATTAAATGTCAGTGAAAATAAATGGTTTCACAGTATTTACATATAGTACAAAGCAAGACATTTTGTTACTGTAGAATACTTTATTTTCACT